AAAGATGGTTTAATGGTGGACAGGACCACATGGCTTGAGTCCTGAACAGAAAAGGGGATCACATGCTTCAATGTTGGTGGAGAAGAAGAGAAGAGCCTTTTATAATCTGTTCGGCCCCACCTCTCTGTTTCCTGTTCCTGTGTAAGAAATGCATTCTGATTGCTTGTCAGACTCCCATGATGCCACAGGGGCAACTCTCTAGGCTGTGTCTTGAATTCAGGTTTGGTTGAGTTCTCAGATGCCATGTGGTGAGTGGGTAACGGCTAATCATGCCTTATCACCCTGAAGCTGAAGGGGAGAACTCTTTATTATTTAAAGGGACTGGCTTGGGCATCTTAATGACCCATTGACAAAGCGGGATGGGCAGGCAGTTGCAGGGAGCTATTCTGTCTTTAAAACATGTTTCTCCCTTTTCACATCCAGGGAAATGTAATATTCTGCCTTTTCACTATTTCCTAGGATATTTCATTTTTCTGGGAGAGGGCTGGGTGATAACTTTCTACATGCCTTTCAATATTGATTCTATTTTTGCTTTCTTTTGCCACAGTCGTTTTATTCGCCAGTCTTTGAATTTTATTATTTTCTCCAGTTTTTTTTTTCTTTTCTATTCTGCTATCTCTAGGTACTGCCTCATTCACTATTCAGATTGTTTTGTCTTTTTTTTACCAACAATTGTTAAGTCTGGAGTATTATGTTGCAGATGCTTGTCTATTTGAATTCTAGAGCTTCTTTTCTATTACTTTGTCTATATTATGGTGTTGTCCCACCTTATCATTAACATCAGCATCTCCTCCTCCTCCTCCTCTATCATTTCCTATCTTCAGTCATTAATTCAATTTGACCCAATAATTCTACCTTTTGAACTTTTGTGTAAGGGCTTGAGAACTGCCTGTGCCTGTCATTCTAATTTCTTCGATCCTTGATATGGTTTTGTGCCTTACCTATTTTAATTTTTTAAGGATGTGTTTAATTTTAAAAAATTAAAGGGGAGATAACCATTTTACTAAAGTGTTAGCCTAAAACATATGTGTATGATAGCATCAGGGACACGGTGGCTCAGTGGCTAAGATGCTGAGCTTGTCCATCAGAAACGTTCGGCAGTTCGGCGGTTTGAATCCCTAGCTCCATATAACGGAGTGAGCTCCCATTACTTGTCCCAGCTTCTGCCATCCTAGCAGTCTGAAAGGATGTAAAAATGCAAGTAGAAAAAATAGGAACCACCTCTGGTGGGAAGGCAACAGCGTTCCGTGCGCCTTTGGCATTTAGTCATGCCGGCCCCATGACCAAGGAGATGTCTTCAGACAGCACTGGCTCTTCGGCTTTGAAACGGAGATGAGTACCACCCCCTAGAGTCGGGAACAATTAGCACATATGTGCGAGGGGAACCTTTACCTTATGATAGCATCACCTCACTGATCTCAGAAGTCTTCTTAGTAAATACCATGTGGATGGCTGCATTCCATAGCTGTCTTTTTGTGGGTGTCTATGTAACATAGTCCCCAAATTCCAGATATGGCCTGTGGCCCAAAGGAATGCCATTCCTCTCCTAGTAGATGCCTTACAATGTGTAATAATCAACTACCTCTAGTCTTCAAGCCATTTTTTTATTCCATCCCCATCTTCACTTTTACACAGTTGTTTATGAACTTCAAGGGGATCTAGCAAAAAAAAAAAGTGAATTCTGTAACTTTTTCATTCTGCTGAAGAGTATTGTTCTGCTCAGACATCTTCTGTTATGTCCACTGTTTGTCAGGGTTCCAAGTAACACCCCCACCGAAAGAAAAATCTGAAGCTTGAGTTTCCTTAAAGTTCCATTTTATTAGAGATATCGTATTGGCACCTCTGGGAAAACCCAAATCTGAAAGTTTCCAGAAAGTTCAAGTCCCTGCCCAGCACCCACATGTCCATCACATGCTCCAATCAGGCCTCGTCCTAACTGGAGATGCCTCCCAGTCACACCACTCGAGGTGCAGGGCAAGATGTCCTTGACTCTCGGAGAAAAGAATTTTATTTAGACTACATATTTCTCATACTCCATATACTCCCCCACATTCCATTTTCCCACAGTAGAAAATGTGGCAGGCCTGAAGGACCAATGTAAAAGATGGCTTCCAGGCCTGACACTGTCTTTGAACCAGTCCTGGATCTTCTTTTCTCCTCCCCTCTGTAGATATGATCAGCCAGAGGACACGAAGCAGCAAGAGCTCAAGTGAGGAGAAAATAGGCAGCGGAAGGGAGACTCTACGGCTGCGTGCAACGGGCACTGCCACCGTAGAGCAGGCAGTGAGTATGCTCTGGGACAGGGATCGGATTAACCAGATGCCCATATTCTCGTAGTACTGTACCAGTGGTGGGTTCCAGATCCCATTCCAACCGGTACAGTTGGAACGGGCCCAACATCGCCCACATGGATGCGCGCAGCATGCACATGCGTTGTAGCTGCCAGCGAGATTCCGCCTCCGTGATGCTCCAGTTGCTCATCAGAGCATCGCACAGGCGCTGTACACGCCACGCATGTGTGCGGAAGCTCCAAAGGTTTTAAAGGACAGGTAAGGAGCTCGAGTGGGTGGGTGGGCCCTCCGGAGCACCATACCAGAACGGTACCCAGTGCTCCAGGCAGGCTCCGCTATGCCTGTACCAGGGCGTACTGCCTGCAACCCACCACTGTACTGTACATAAGAAACTTGGGGTCTAATTGGAAATGAGTTAATTGCCTCAGGGCTAACCTTAGGAAAATGCCTGTTAGATACCTAGCCTGGTTGCTGGGTGGGCGTGGTCATGATGGGCATGGCTTAGTCGGCCTCCTGCATTGGGGGGGGGGCATTTTCACCCGCCTGAGGCTCCGGAGTCTTCCTTGAGCCTCCAGGAGGGCGAAAAAGATGTTCCTTGGGCTCTGGAGCCCCTCCAGAGGCTGGAAATTCTGGGAGACCCGTTTTTATCCCTCCTCGAGCTTCTGTGCAGGCCCTGTACTTACCTGGCATCCACAACAGGCTGCCTGGGGATTCCTGGGAGGGGTGGAGTGGGTGGGGT